GATCCACGTAAACGTGTTGAGTTTGTTCAGAGAATAATAGATGATTTTTGGAAACATTGGCAAAGAGATGTTTTTCCAGCGTTAGTTCCCCGTAAAAAGTGGAATGCAGATAGAAGAAACGTTCGTGTCGTCGATGTTGTAGTGATTGAAAACCCGAATGCAGTGCGAGGAAGCTGGTCAATTGGCAAAGTTATAAACGTGTTTCCTGGTAAAGACAGTAAGGTTCGAAACATCAGAGTGAAGACATGTTCTGGAGAATATGAGAGACCTGTAAGTAGAATTGCTGTTATTTATCCAGAAGAAGGTTACAAAGAGAACTAGAACTAGCTATGCTATTTAGTAGCATGAGAACTACATTCTCATCGGGGCGGAGAGTGTATTGATATTTTGTTGACGTTAGATAAAATAAGTAATATTAATCTCTAAGTTAATTAGTTAATAATAGACAGTGGATATGATTGACAGTTTGCATGTTTCACGAGTCGAAAACAACATGAGGACAAGGCGTGTGCTTAGGAAAACATACGAAGCAAATGTTGATTAAAATGTGTTAACCCGCCAAGAAGTAAGTTCATATTTGTGTATTAGAGTATGTATAGTGTAGAATTAGAAGTAATTTGTAGTTGTAATTCAATTTATAGATCGAATAAAAACAGTGTAAACAGTATACGATTTGACGGGCAATGTATTCATTTCATCGGACCAGTGTTGACTGTGGACTTTTCTATCTACGTGTGGACTGTGTGGACTGTGGACTTTTCTAACTAAGCGTGGACAGTGTGGACTGTGGACTGTTCTATCTAAGTGTGGACAGTGTGGACTGTGGCCTTTTCTAACTAAGTGTGGACAGTGTGGACTGTGCACTTTTCTAACTAAGTGTGGACAGTGTGGACTGTTGACTTTTCTATCTAAGTGTGGACAGTGTGGACTGTGGACTTTTCTAACTAAGTGTGGACAGTGTGGACTGTGGACTTTTCTAACTAAGCGTGGACAGTGTGAACTGTGAACTCTTCTATCTAAGTGTGGACAGTGTGGACTATGGACTGTTCTATCTAAGTGTGGACAGTGTGGACTGTGAACTGTTCTATCTAAGTGTGGACAGTGTGGACTGTGAACTTTTCGAACTAAGTGTGGACAGTGTGGACAGTGTGGACTTTTCTATCTAAGTGTGGACAGTGGACTTTTCTAACTAAGTGTGGACAGTGTGGACTTTTCAAACTAAGTGTGGACAGTGTGGACTGTGGACTTTTCGAACTAAGTGTGGACAGTGTGGACTGTGTGGACTTTTCTAACTAAGTGTGGACAGTGTGGACAGTTTATTATTGTTTATTGTTTATTAAAATTATTTAAACACGGTAGCCATTCAGCATTCGCTGGTTTTCAATGGGCCGTGTACACAATAAAAAATTACAATAATAATTATGAAGCCTAACTACTCATCAGCTTCACACTACTCAGTCACTAATACAACAAGGTATACTAATTATCTCTAGTACAATAATACTTAATTATTACAGCATATAAAGTACACGTACACGGGGTACTCGTCAATCACTATAGTCGTTACCATAGTGATTGATGAGCAATGTCTTTAATACATTCGCTGTTTTATTACCGATGTTTTGCGTTAAAGTTAAGGGAAGGTTGTTCCACGATTTTGCCGCTCTATAGGAAAAGCTTTTCTTAAGAAAATTTGTGCTAGGTTTTGCTAATGACAGTTGGTCAAAATTACTTCTCAAATTATATGTTTCATTCGAGCAACGATTAAATAATTTAGTAAGATATGGAGGCGAATTTCCGATTAATGCCTTGAAAGTAGCTATGTTCTCTCGAGTTTGTAAATATGTGCTCATTGGTAACCAGTTAAGTTTTTGAAATACTTCGTTAGATCGAAAATCATAGGAATCACCGGTAATTACGCGTGCCGCTTTCTTTTGAAGTTTAGACATTTTAGTTAATTTGTTTTTACTTCCGTCATACCACACAGTCGAACAATAGTAAAAATTAGGAATTATAAAAGCGTTATACATTTTCTCCAGAACATGTCTGGGAACGAAAGACTTAGCTCTTCTTAACAGAGCAATGTTCTTTGAGATTGTTTTACTTTGTTCCTCATTATGTTTGTCCCACTTAAGTTGTTCATCTAAGATGACACCAAGTGTCTTTTTATGTGGTACACGCTTAAATACTTTGTCACCAAGTTTAATTAAGGGACCATGTGTGGACAGTGTGGAGTTTTCTATCTAAGTGTGGACAGTGGACTTTTCTAACTAAGTGTGGACAGTGTGGACTTTTCAAACTAAGTGTGGACAGTGTGGACTGTGGACTTTTCTAACTAAGTGTGGACAGTGTGGACTGTGGACTTTTCTATCTACGTGTGGACAGTGTGGACTGTGGACTTTTCTATCTAAGTGTGGACAGTGTGGACTGTGGACTTTTCTAACTAAGTGTGGACAGTGTGGACTGTGGACTTTTCAAACTAGGTGTGGACAGTGTGGACTGTGGATTTTCTAACTAAGTGTGGACAGTGTGGACTTTTCTAACTAAGTGTGGACAGTGTGGACTGTGGACTTTTCTATCTACGTGTGGACAGTGTGGACTGTGGACTTTTCTAACTAAGTGTGGACAGTGTGGACTTTTCTAACTAAGTGTGGACAGTGTGGACTGTGGACTCTTCTATCTAAGTGTGGACAGTGTGGACTGTGTGGACTTAAGTGTGGACAGTGTGGACTTTTCTGACTAAGTGTGGACAGTGTGTACAGTGTGGACAGTGTGGACTTTTCTAACTAAGTGTGGACAGTGTGGACAATGTGGACTATGGCATAGCAAATGGTGTTTAAATTGGGAAATTATTGAAACATGCACGTTTGGTGAAGCTGTCGGTAATTAAACTGACACTGATGACGTAGTCTGTGCTCTGCTACCCGAGGAAGCAGCCCCATTATATCATTCCATTATATCGTGTTATCATGTCATCATGTCGTGTTATCATGTCTTCATGTCGTGTCATTATGTCGTCATGTCGTGTCATTATGTCGTGTTATCATGTCATCATGTCGTATCGTTATGTCGTGTTATCATGTCATTATATCGTGTTATCATGTCATTATGTCGTGTTATCATGTCATTATATCGTGTTATCATGTCGTTATGTCGTGTTATCATGTCATTATATCGTGTTATCATGTCGTTATGTAGTTTTATCATGTCATTATGTCCTGTTGTCATATCATTATGTCGTGCTATCATGTCATTATGTCGTGTTCATGTCATTATGTCGTGTTATCATGTCATTATGTCGTGTTATCATGTCATCATGTCGTAATTAATGTCGTAACTTGCCGTGATATGTCGTAATTCATGTCGTAACTTGCCGGAAATGGTCGCTGAAAACTCGTCATTGTTTTCGCGGGAAAAGACGCCACTCACAGTCAAAATGGCGTCCTGGAACAAAAGTTGTTCTATAAACCAGTGATTAAAACGAGCGGCTATAAAATAGAGGAAACAACGAAGGAAAAAAGAATGCACAGTATTCCACTTGCAGCAAGAAACCGCATAGTAAGTAAAATAAATGTTGAGTATTTCGCAATCATAATTCTTCTTAATTTAAAAATATATTCAAATATGGTCAGAACAACCTGAAGATTAATTAAGAATACATTACCCTGTTTAATACTAGCCGCGTTTAAAACACTTCCAAGTTTATTGCACATTTGGCACCTATTTTAACAAAAGAATCGTATTCGTATTATCTTTCAATGAATGACTTCAACTTTGTCAAAGTCCGTATTGTTGAATTAGTTGATATTACGTCATGCATTCTGATTCGAACGTTTGGCGTATCCATTTTAGTGCCTCGTGTAATTGTTCGTTGCAGTTCTTGTTCAAGTTGTATCTCGATATATTTTACTCATTAAATGTTCATATTTTATCACAAAAATGTGACTGTTCGAATAAGTATTCAATTCCAATAGGTTATGGGCCCAGTGGCTGAAGTATTCGAAGTTTTTAATCGAGATATTGCGATAAATTTAATCGTTAAATCGTATTTTGAAACTGGTATGGAAGCATGACAAAATAAATATGGCGGAATCGAAAACTGTTACGGTTGTACCGTTAAATGGGTCGAACTATGGGACTTGGAAAGTCCAGTGTCGCATGGCTCTCGTGAAAGACGGGCTGTGGAGCATTGTTTCTGGAACTGAAACTGCTCCTGCTTCGACAGAAGCTGAAAAATATGCGAAGTTTGTTAGTCGTAGAGATAAAGCACTGGCGATTATCGTGCTTTCGGTACACCCTTCGCTGTTATATTTGCTCGGAGATCCTGAAGACCCTGTAGCCGTATGGAAGAAATTATCAGACCAGTTTCAGAAGAAATCGTGGGCAAACAAACTGTCTTTAAGACGACATTTAAATAATTTGAGGCTGAAAGAAGGGAATTCTATGTCAAGTCATATAAACGCGATGACTGAGGTTTTCAATGACTTGGCTGTAATAGGTGCGCCAATGGAAGATGAAGACAAGGTTGTAACCTTGCTGGCAAGTCTCCCTGAAACCTATAATATGCTTGTAACTGCACTCGAAGCGAGTTCTGAAGTCCCACAAATGGAACTTGTAACTGAACGTTTGCTTTATGAAGAAACAAAGCTGAATGAGCGAGAAAAGTCCCCCAAAGCCTCGGGTAAAGTTATGGCGGCCTCGAGGACTGATAGGAAATCAATTAAATGTCATCACTGTGGAAAGTTTGGACATATAAGACGTTTTGAACAAAGACAAAATTTGGACAAAGACAAAATCGCAAAGGAGTCTAAATCACCTTTAAACAAGGGACAACAAGCTGGAAAGGGGCAGTCAGGTTCTCGTAGTGAAAGTTTAGGATTTGTTGCACAAAGTTTGGCAGCAAATACATGTGGAACTAACAGTGAAACATGGATTGTTGACTCTGGTGCAACATGCCACATGTGTAACAACAAAGCTTTGCTTGAAGACTTTGTTGAATTCAATGAGCCTGTTGATGTAATGCTTGGTGATGCAAAAGTTCTGAATGCTGTTGGAAGTGGCATTGTTACAGTATGTACTAATCTTGTGAATGGAAAGCAGCAAGAGTGTAAACTACATAATGTACTTTTTGTTCCGAAACTGAGCTATAATCTACTAAGCGTATCGAAAGTGACTGAAGCTGGTAAATCTGTTAGTTTTGAAGAAACAAAATGCAATATTTCATGTAGTGACGGGGAAATTATTGCAATTGCAAAGAAAGTTGGATGTTTGTACTATTTGGATTTTCAACCTATCTTAGAATGTTCAAATGCTGTATCAAATGAAGGAACTGAACTCTCAAATGAAATGTTATGGCATCAACGTTATGGACACTTGGGAGTCCAAAGTTTAAAGCGATTAGCAAATGAAGATTTAGTTGAAGGTTTCAACTTTGATACAAAGAAAGATTTGGAGTTCTGTGATGCATGTGTACAAGGAAAGTTACACCGGTGTTCGTTTCCTAATAGTGGTGCAAAGAGAGCTAGTGAACCACTAGGCTTAGTGCATAGTGATGTGTGTGGAAAGATAAACACTAAGTCATGCGGTGGTGCTGAATACTTTTTAACATTCACAGATGACAAAACTCGCTATGCCTGGGTGTATCCATTGAAGCAAAAGAGCGAAGTGTTCAGTCAGTTCTTGGAGTGGAAAGCTGTTGCTGAGAAGTCAAGTGGACATAAGCTAAAAACTCTAAGAACTGATAATGGTGGTGAATTTACTTCAAATGAATTTGAGAACTATTTGAAATCAGAAGGAGTTAAGCACGAGTTAAGTGTCCCGAAAACCCCAGAGCAGAATGGCGTTGCTGAGCGACTAAACCGGACACTTATTGAAGCAGTTCGAGGTATGCTTATTCAATCTAAACTACCGCAAAAATTTTGGGTAGAAGCACTCTCGACTGCTGTTTATTTGCATAACCGAAGCCCAACAAAAGGAGTAGCCAACATGACTCCATTTGAAGCATGGACTGGAGTGAAACCTGATGTCAAACACTTGAGAAGTTTTGGATGCACTGTGTATGCACACATTCCAAAGGATGAGAGAAAGAAGCTTGATTCAAAGGCGAAGAAATGTGTTCTGCTAGGATATGGAACTGAAACCAAGGGATATCGTTTATATGATCCTCAGAATTCAAGAGTTATATATAGTCGGGATGTTAAATTCAATGAAAGTGAATTTGGCATTGAGAAGGAGTTGCCAGGGAATGAATTCCAGGCTGATAAACATGTAACTCTCGAACTGTCAAATGACAATGATGTAGTTGTTGAGGATGATCAAGCAGATAATGCAGAAATTAACGAGCGCCAACCAGTGCGAGAAAGGCGTGCACCTGACCGTTTTGGTGAATGGGTAACTATCGCAAGCAAAGATGTTGTTGAGCCAACAACAGTAAGTGAAGCATTGTGTGGTCCAAATGCAGAACGGTGGCATGAAGCCATGCAGCAAGAAATGGATTCGCTACAAGAGCATGATGTATGGAAACTCACAGAACTGCCGAAAGATCGGAAAGCAGTTGGGTGTAAATGGGTATTTAAAGTAAAATACAATGCTGATGGTTCAATTGAGAGACATAAAGCTAGACTTGTTGCTCAAGGTTTTTCGCAAAGATTTGGGGTGGATTACGATGAAACATTCTCCCCAGTAGTGCGTTTTGAATCGATACGGACTGTTATTGCGTTATCTGTTCAAAGAGGATTAAAGTTGCATCAGATGGATGTAACCGCTGCTTTTCTAAATGGAGAATTAGAAGATGAAGTGTATATGAAACAGCCCGAAGGTTTTGAAGTTAAAGGGAAGGAACATCTGGTTTGTAAGCTAAACAAGAGTCTGTATGGGTTAAAGCAATCTTCCAGATGTTGGAATTCTGTATTGGATGAGCA